TATTAGTAGTGTCTTTTTACAGAAGAGTTGGGAGAGGCACCATAGCTTGCCAAACATCATTCAGCTGCTAAAAGAAAGTTGGGGTGGGAAATCCTGTGGTCTGTCTGACTCAAGTCCATATTGTCAGCCTCACACATGGCTAGATGATTATTGAGTTGTTTTTAACATTTATTTATTTTAATTAAATTTCAGATTTATTTACTTATTTTATATATTTAAGTATTTTATGTGCATGAGTGTTTTGCCCACCTGAATGCATGTGCAGTGAGTATATTGTAACACCCACAGAGGTCAGAAGAGGACATATGATTTCCTGGTACTGGAATTATTCATGGCTGTAAGCTGCTATGTGGGTGCTGGGAATTGAACCCAGGTCTTCTGAAAGAGCAAGAAAGTGCTTTTATGCACCGACCCATCTCTCTAGGCCCATATTTTAGTTTTATGTATACCTATGTGTGCCTGCTTGTCTGTATTTGCACCACATGTGTGCAATGCCCGTGGTGGCCAGAAAAGGGCATCAGATGCCCTGGAGCTGGAGTTACAGATGGCTGTGAGATGCCCATTGTGGGTGCTGAGAACAGAACTCAGGTCCTCTGCAAGAGCAGCCAGTGCTCTTAGCTGCTGAGCCATCCCTCTAGCCCCTGATCCTTAGCAATTTAAATAATAAGGGAATATATACACGCACTTCCTTTTAGTTTTTCGTGATGTTAGGTGGTGGAGCCCAGGACCTTGTGCTTGATGGGAAAGTGCTCTACCCAGCCCAAGAAGTACAAACAAGAAAAAAAGGTCCTTGAACCTGGTCTCGGCACTGCTGGTGACACTCCTGCCCACCTATGGCTCATTCTTGCTGTTATTCCATGTGCTTCTGAATTTGTGTCAGGTCCTCAAGAACCAGTTTATGTTTTATGTTAGTGCTTACATGATGGAGGCATGTTGTCTGTCCACCAATCTCACTTTATAATACACCCCCTCTGGCCACCATGCTCTTTATTTATATGTATTTATTTACTTTAATTTCTTTAAAAAGATGCATTCATTTTATGCATTTTTGTATTTTGCTTGGATGTCTGTATATGCACCATGCACATGTCTGTTGCCTGAAGAGGCTGAAGAGGGTGTTGGGTCCTCTGGAACGTGAGTTATGGATGGATGTGAGCCATTACGTGGGTGCTGGGAACTGAACTCAGGTCCTCTGGAGGAGCAGCAAGTGCTCTTACTTAACCACTGAGTCCCTGTTTGAAGAATGAGTGACTGAATGCTAGGGCTGAGGATATGGCTCTGTTGAGGGAGTGCTTGCCTATTTATTTTATTTATTTTTATTTTTTAACACTTTTTTTTTAAAAGATTTATTTATTATGTACACAGTGTTCTGCCTGAATGTATGCCTGCAAGCCAGAAGAGGGCACCAGACCTCATTACAGATGGTTGGTTGTGAGCCACCATTGGTTGCTGGGAATTGAACTCAGGACATCTGGAAGAGCAGTCAGTGCTCTTAACCTCTGAGCCATCTCTCCAGCCCCCTATTTATTTTTGAGACAGGGTCTCATGTAGCCCAGGCTGGCCTTGAATTTACTATGTAGCAGAGGATGATCTTGAACTCCTAATCCTCCTGCCTCTACCTTCTGAGTGCTAGGTTGCAAGCATATACCACTATACCTGCTTTATACAGTGCTGAGCATGGAACTCAGGGCAAGCACTGTGCCAATTAAAGTACATCCCCAGCCCCTAGCCAACGACATTAACATTTTTGTTATACTTAATTGTTCATTGTGTGTATATTTATTTTGTGTGTGCGTGTGCGTGTGCGTGTGCGCGTGCGCGTGTGCGTGTGCGTGTGTGTGTGTGTGTGTGTGTGTGTGTGTGTGTGTGTGTGTGTGTTGGGTGGGGCATTGTGCCACGGCATGCCTGTGGAAGTCAGCGGACAACTTGTGGAAATCAGTTCTTTTTTTTTTCTTTCCCAAGACATGGTCTGACTATATAGCTCTGGCTGTCCTGGAACCCACTCTGTAGACCAGGCTGGCCTCAAACACACAGAGATCCTCCTGCCTCTGCTTCCCCAGTGCTGGGATTAAAGGTGTGTACCACTACGCCCAGCTCAGTTCTGTCTTTTCCTCCAGAAACCAAACTCATGTTGTGGGACTTGGTAGTAGGTACTTTTACCTGAGGGGCCATCTCTCTGCTCCCAGTGCAGGAAACAAACAAACAAACAAACAAACAAAACAGTGCTGCATCCTGCAGCAGGAACACGCATGGCTTATTTGTCTGCTCGTCCTTGGGTGGACAGCCGGTGGTCATGGCACTCATACTTGTCTATGCCACGCATATAGTTGAGTTGTTAGCTGAACAGGAGTGTCCACGTGGAGTTGCTGTCTAGAAGGGCACTGCCGGATTGCCCTGAATGACAAGACACGCTCTGTTATTGGCATATTCCACAGACATATAAAGGGACATACAGACAACAGAAGGAGGCCTAGCGGGGGTGGCGTGGCTCCTGGGAAGAGAGAAGTAAGACACTGGCATCACCCTGTGTGTGCATGTATAGTCCACACTCTCTCAGTGGCTCTGGGAGCTGAGGACATCTTGTAACCATTGAGCTATCTCTACGGCCCCCATTGTCTCTCTCTCTCTTTACCATTGTAGACAAGGGACTCTTTCTCAAGTTCGTAGAGATAGTGTGGGGGTGGGGCTGTGATTTGCTGCAGACCACCCATCATAAAGGTCCAGCTTTTACCTCTGCCAGTCTTTCAAGGCCAAGGGGAAGAGACCAGGGCCTCTTGCAGGCTGCTCTTTTGTGGATTTGCCCCGATGGTCATATCACCAGATTTCACCTGGAAAATCCGTTACAATGTGCTTTGCCCTCAACTTACATTTCAGAGCAAGACCCTGAGTCCTGGCTGGGCGGTGGTGGCGCTCGCCTTTAATTCCAGCACCCGGGAGGCAGAGCCAGGCAGATCTCTGCTAGTTCGAGGCCAGCCTGGTCTGCAGAGCAAGATTCAGGACAGGCACCAAAACTACACAGAAAAACCCTGTCTCAAAACAAAAACAAAACAAACAAACAAACAAACAAAAGACCCTGAGTCCTGCAGAAGGGCAGCTCAAAGCTGGGGTTCCAGCATTGTAGACAGGCCTCTGTTCTGCAAGCCTAGTTGGCAGGGAGCTAGGCAGAGGACTGTTCCTGTGTGAGAGTGCATTTGGCTAGCTTTGAAGCTCCCCGGCTCCGACAGACCTTGATTTTGCCTGCTCCACCCCCTCTCCATCTGTAGAGGGTTGCCTGGGAATCTGGTTCCCTTCCCGCCTCCGCCTGATCTTTGCGTCTCTCCACACCCTTCCCACTTCTGGCTGCCTCCAGAACCCAGCCAGGCATGTTGGAACCTACCTGTCATCCTGGATTCTAGTAAGATGGAGGCAGGAATATTTCCAGTTTGAGGCTAGCCTGGACTACGAACCCTGGACTACATGTCTCTAAATAAGTTAAAAGAAAAAGAACGAAGCTGGGCAAATCCCTGTATTTAAAACCTAAGTACGAGAAGAAGGCAAGAACATGGCTGGGAATGTGGCTCAGTTGGTAGAGTGCTTGCCTAGCATGTGTGAAGCCCTGGGTTCAATCCCCAGCTCTGCATAAACCAGGTATGGTGGCACATGCTTGTAATCCCAATGTTCAGGAGGTAAATCTTGGAAAATTAGGAGTTCGAGGTCATCCCCAGGGCTCAAACACAGGTCATTAGGCTCAGTGGCAGTCACTTTTATTTGAAAGCTGCATGCTTTTTCTTTTGAATGTGTGAAAATTAACTTTTATGGGCATCCTTTTCTGGGGAGAGGGTTCTCATATTTTCAAAAGGATCTCAGAGGTGGTCCAGCCTCGTTCCACGCCTCATAATGATCTGGGACAGTTGGTTGCCAGGTGGCAGCCTCAAGCTCAGGTCTCTCCAGGTGTTTGTCCCCTTCTTGGTGTGCTGGGGAGTGGCACCTTTTTCCTTCCCTGGTCCCCACCAGCGTTCATGAGGAGAATGGAGTCTGATGTCAGTCTGGATTGGAAAGGAGATGTGAAGTCACCAGTCAGCATCCCTATGCATTTACACAGGATCTCATCACAACCATTTGCTTCATGCACATAGTAAAAAGGAACACTTCTGTTTTGTGGACCATGAGGGTAAAAACCGTAAGTCCAAAATGTGCAGGGAATCCATGCACTGTACAAATAATCTGCTCTTCGGCCATGGCTGTTTCTCCTCAAGTGTAACTGAGTCTTGAAGTGCCAAAGCTTGGAAAGTAATGGAGCTTCTTGTGCTGTGTGCCTGACTGTGTTGAATGTCATTATCCATCCACCCATCCACCCACCTATCAACCCATCCACCCACCCATCCACCCACACATCCATCCATCCATCCATCCATCCATCCATCCATCCACCCATCCATCCATATTATTTATTTTTGAGACTGTGTCTCCTGTAGCCCAGGCTGGTCTCAAGTCATTTTGTAGCTGAGGGCAGCCTTGAATTTCTGTGCTTGCTTCGATTCCAGGCACTCCCTACACTTAGTTTGTGAGGTAGCAGAAATGGAACCCAGGGCTTCCTGCATGCTAGGCAAGCACTCTATCAACCAAGCTACATTCCGATGCCCCCATGTGCTGAGTATTGGCCTTGCAGGAGGGTTGTTCGGAGCTGTCTACCTCTGGATCTGAACTGCCTCAAACTCCTGTGAGATGCTTCATGGACAGGGTGTAGTGTGGGACCTGGATCAGGGCTCAGTGCCGGAGGCTCAGCTTGAGGCCTTGGGCACATGAGGACCTATGGGCAGACTGTGCTGTGCTTAGTAGTGATGACAGGTTTGGTCTGCAGCCAGCGTCAAGTTCAGTATGGAACTGGAGTTAGGCCTGGTGCTTCAGTCAAGGATCAGGGCTCAGTTATTTGCTGGCATACTAGGCCTTGGTCTAGTATTAGGGTTGAGGGTCAGCCTGTGACTAAGATCAGTCAACTTATGTGGTCTTCCTTTCTACAGGTGCCCAGGACCCCACGTCCAGGGATGGAGTCGGCGGACAGTAGGCGGTTGGCTACCAAGCATAGTAGGAAGGCCTTGAAGGCCAGCCTGACCCTGGGCATCCTGCTGGGCATGTTCTTTGTCACCTGGCTGCCCTTCTTTGTGGCCAACATAGCTCAGGTAAAAAGACATGACTGTGAGGGCAGGTAAAAAAAATGACATGTCTCTCACTGTGCCAAGGCGGGAGGGAGGGGGATGGCTCATCTGTGACACCTGGGTCTGTGTGTCTGGCCCATCCCTGCCGGGTGAGGTAGCCTGGGTCCCTGCCCAGGACCAGGTGTGATGAATCCTATCCCCACAGGCTGTGTGTGACTGCATCTCCCCAGGCCTCTTTGATGTCCTCACGTGGCTCGGGTATTGTAATAGCACCATGAACCCCATCATCTACCCACTCTTCATGCGGGACTTCAAGAGAGCCCTGGGTAGGTTCCTGCCATGCATCCACTGTCCCCCGGAGCACCGGGCCAGCCCTGCCTCCCCCTCCATGTGGACTTCTCACAGTGGTGCGAGACCAGGCCTCAGCCTGCAGCAGGTGCTGCCTCTGCCCCTGCCGCCGAACTCAGATTCAGACTCAGCTTCGGGGGGCACCTCGGGCCTTCAGCTCACAGCTCAGCTTCTGCTGCCTGGAGAGGCAACCCGGGACCCCCCGCCACCCACCAGGGCCACCGCTGTGGTCAACTTCTTCGTTGCGGACTCTGTGGAGCCCGACATACGGCAGCATCCACTCAGTTCTCCCACGAACTGACCAGGTCAAGAGCTGGCCAGTGGAGAGCCACATCCCAGAGACCTCAGCCCACTCTCCCTAAGACTGGGAGGTGGTAGGCCTCCTGGGAGCCTGCTGAGCTCCATGAGACATCCTCAGCTAGCCCCCATCTTCTGCTACAGGCCCCTTGACATGAGGGATGTTCAGAAACACCTCTGTAGGGTGTAGGTAGGGTGCTCCAGTATGGAGGTCACTGTGGTTGTGTAGTGTGGCTGGGGGAGCTGAGGGAGATGGGCCATTTGGTTCAGGCCAGCAGGAAAGCAATCTGTCTGGAGTCCTTTCTCTCTTGGTGAGTGGAAAGAACACATTCACCTAGACACCCCGGTTCTTGTCTGGCCCAATCCCCTGCTATCCAAAGTGCCATCAATGGGCTACTTGGGGGCCCTCACAGGCTCTGGGGAGTTTATTCAAAGTGCCCACCCTCTCCACTGAAGATGTGCTCAATCCAAATTGTGTGTTCATGAGCTTTCCCACATATGTATTCGCTGGACACTTCAGACCTGCCAGCCCTTAGGATGAGGATTGCAACGTTAAAGAGCCCCTTAGACTGGAAGCCGGGCAGGCAGAAACATGACCCTTTCCTCAACTGTATATGGCAGTTTGGGGACTTGGCACAGGTCTCCAGGGAGAGTAGTGTTACCACCTCTTAAGACAATGTGAAGGCTGTGCCCAGCACCTGTGGTAAATTCTGTGGCTTTAACCCCTGGTCAGCCAGGGCTTGGCTCTGGTAGAAGGCTGGCAAGCACCTCTCTCCTCCCCTCCCCTCCTTCCCTCTCTTCCCTTTTCTTACCTCCCTTTTATTTTTTTTCTAGGGTCTCATGTAGCCCAGGCTGCCCTCAAGTTCCCCGTGTGGCCAAGGATGACCTTGAACTTCCGATCCTCTTGCCTCTACCTCCCAAGTGCTGGGATCACAGGCATGTAGCACACACCAGGTTTATGTGGTGCTGGGGATGGACCTCAGGGCTTCATGCATTCTAGGAAAGCAATCTATCAACTGAGCTATGTCCCCAGCACCCCCACCCCCACTTTTCTGTTAGGACTGCCTTGCGCATACTAGGCAAGTGCTCTCTGTGGAGCCCCACCTTAGCCCCATTGCTCTTTTCCAGCCTAGATTCCCATACCTTAACTCAGGCTCCCATCCTTGTTCTGGTGGGTGGGAACCCCGTCACTCAGGGACCCTTCCGGCCCCATCTGCTGTTCTGCCTCTAGAGGCCCAGGGGCTGGTGACAGATCTTGTGCAACCTCAAGAGAGGGTTTCCTCCACCCTGGGCTTCCCGGAGAGGAAGCAGCTGATGGAGGCGGACCAGTTCCTCACCCTGCCTGCTTTGGTCCTCCCGAGGGTCGCTGAAAGAAAGGACAGCTGCTTGGGTGGGCAGAGCAGAGTTGAAGAGGAATGTCTTGGACTTTAGGGTGAAGCCACAGGCAGGCAGGTGGGCTCCGGCGTGGGCCTGGCTTTGTGGGCAAGGGCAGGGGACTCTTGGCTCCATGCTTCTCTGCAATGAGTTCCTCTTCAGCTCTGCTCCGGGTCTTTCTTCAAGCCCTTATTACGTTCCATCAACCAGGTTCCCAGGCTTGCCCAGAGTGACCAGGAGCTCTCCTTGGTGCTGATCATATTCAACTGGGCCCTGGCAGCAGGGTTTTGGTGCTTGCCAGGGTTTCTCTGCCTCAAGGCCTGCCTGAGGGACTCAATAAACAAAAGCTGAAGAAAGCGGCTGTGTGTGGACTGGATCTTCTTGAAGCCCCAGGTGGTTGGAAAGTAGCTATGTAAAGGTCTCCGCCCAAGCGTCCTGGGCTCTGATCTGACTCCATGACTAGCTTGCTTTGTGACTTCCCCGCCCCCCCCCCCCCCATAACAAATCACTGTCAACTGTCGTTTTTCCACATGGACACAGCGGCTTGTCCTAAAGGCAGCCCGAGTTGGGTAGGTGTCTGTAAAGTGAATAAGTGACGCACACTGGAGAGGCATCCAGTTTCTGCATACTATGGCACCCACAGCCTTGTATGGGTCTTATTTCTCCACGTGCACAACGTGGGTGGGACACCTCTGTCTCTGACACCCAGAGGAGGTGGGAGAAACAAAGAGGAGGTTCTCATGGATGCAGATGCAGGGCCATAGAGCTCGGGTCTGAAGTCCCAACCAGCTAGACTTCATAGTGACTCCATCACTGATCAGCTGTGTGGCCTTCAACAGGCTTTATAATTACACAGAGGCTCAGTTTCCCCAGCACAAAATAAAAGGTAGCCATGAAGGTCAAGAGAAAAGCCTTTAGTATTTATTGGTCCCTCCCTGTGTGTAATCCACATTTATCACCAGGCCCAGTTCTCTCTATGCCGACTGTGAATTGTTCTACCCAGGGCCACCATGTTCCCCAAGCTCAGGGTGGGGCGCCACTCACATCACATCTATGTCTCAGTTCCTTCGGCACTTGTGCGGCTCACACTGGCTGTACATCTCTACGGGACCGAGCTGACTGGACCTCCCAAGAAGACAGAGGGAGGAAGCTGCCTCATTGGCACCTTCCTGGCGGGCAGCCCTGGAGAGCTGATAAAAGGTCAAGAGGACACTTGGTTCCACTGAAGTTGGAGGAAGAGGGAGCATGGGGACCTCCAGCCCCACAGTGACTCCTGGGCCTCTGGGTGGGACCTGCAGGGCAGGAGCCTACACTGGCCTGGGGCTGGGTTGATGTTGCAGGTCACATGGTCAGTGTTTCCTCAGGAGCAGGTGCTTTCTCCATTAGTTCTCCATTCTAGGCTCTTTCTATTTAAGAAAGGCACTTGTGGGAATTCTGCACTTCCAGAACTCACTGGGGAGCCCAGAGGTATTAGAGAGAGTTGCATACAGAAGTCTGGAGAGAGAGTCCAGGCTCCTGCTGGGGTCAGTCCAGTTCTGCACAGGACTCCTGGGTCCCCTGTGTGCAGTCAGGGCAGCCCAATGGGTTAGGATCCACACCATGGCTGCAGATCAGGGGTCCTTCTGCTGGATTGGCAGCAATGGGGAGCAAGGCCTCTGTGGATTGGTCCAGCTCTGTTGGCATCTGGGCTAGCCTGGCACTGGAAGATATGGCGGTTTTGAGACAGTCTCCTGGGCCAGGTCCCTGGGTTTGCCCATCCTGGTGGATCACCTCATCTGTGGGGACTGTGGCTGTCTGGAGAGGCTCTTCTTGGGGCAGGCTGCCAGGGGCCAGTGGGAATCCCTTCTCACCCCAGCCTGGCTTGGTGCGGATGCCAACAGCCTTCAGGATGACATCCATTTGCTTAGCATAGTCCAAGTGCCCATTGACCTGCAAGGAGACCATGAGTGAGGACCATGGTGGGTAGGTGGGAAGGGCCCACCCTTTCCCTGGGATCCAAGCTAAGCTCTACCCTCAGCCAGTCACTCAGTATCCCAGGGTCCCAATTATTGATGGTTCTCAAGTCCAGAGTGCACTGGTGGGGGGTAGGGGTGGGGCTATAGGATCTTAGCTAGGGAAAGTTGAAGAAAGCTTTCCAAATGTGTGGGTCCTCTGGGGCAGGAAGGCCCATACTTGGCAAGCAGGCAGGGGAGGGGTTCAGTGTTTGATCTTCAGTAGCCACGGAACTTTGGGTGGTCTTTCTGTCCCCAACATTAGGAGTAGCTTCCCCAGAGGGTGGCTGGGAGGGTTTCCCCAGGAAAAATCCCAAGTTGGAAATAAAATTTTGTCACAGCCTATAGGTTCAGTTTCTTCACAGCTCTCTGGTCCCCATCACTCCTCTGCTTCACCCAGTTCCCCTCCTAGGAACTCCCCATTTGCCCTGCTCAATGTGTGCTGAAAACTTATCTCCCAAAACAACAGTGTTGAGAGAAGGGGCTTTGGGCTCTGTCTCTGGACTGACAGAGATGTCACCCTGAGGGCAGATTTGTTACAAGGCCAGCTTGCCACTCCACCATGAGATGATGCAGCCAGAAGCCGCCACCAGACGGCAGCGCCACAGCCATAGGTGCCAGTTGTCACTGTTAAAAGTCAAATAACCTTCTGTTGTTCATGGTACATCATGGTACATGATCTAGTCCCAGGCATTTACCTACAGCAGTCCAGAGGGGCCAAGACGAGAGGAAGCAGTGCTGTTTTCGATGCTTCTTGGAGCTCTTTGTGAGAGAATGGGTGTCTTTTCTTACCCCGCAGCCCAGCCGTGTGTGTGTGTGTGTGTGTGTGTGTGTGTGTGTGTGTAGGTCAAAGGTCAGGGGTCTTCCTCAATCTATCTCCCTTATTTTTTGAGATAGGGTCGCTCACTGGCCCTGGGGCATATCTATTTGGCTAGACGGGCTGTCTAACAAGCTCCAGGGATCCTCCTGTCTCTGCTCCCCCCTATCCTACCCCAGCACGTTCTGGGGACCTGAACTTAGACCCTCATGCATTTGTGGAAAGCACTTTGCTGACTGAGCCATATCCCTAGTCCCCAAAGCATCTCATAGAGATGTCTCCCAATCCCGGTCAGTGCTAATGCATTTCAACAGAATGTGAGAAGTACATGCAAATCACAATGCTGTGCCTGGCACTTAGTAGGTGCTGCATAAATATGTGTTCTCTGATTTTAGTTTGCCTCACAGGGGAGACAGGTGGGGAGTTAGCTGGGCCGATCCATTTGGGAGCCCACGGTGGCTGCTTAAGCTCTAGCTATCACTTCTGAATTCCAGCCAACAGAAACTTCAGACCCACAGGGACAAACACTAACCAGTTCCCTATGGACAAATAAGGGCTGCTTCCCTGAGCCTTCTGAATCCCGGGGAAGGCCTGGTGCCGGGGCTGTGTGGGAACAGGCAGCCAGCAAGGACAGTGTCATTGCCATGGCTGCAGCGGACTTGAGGTGACCATCATCCCTCCAGCCCACAGCTCTAGCCCCCTCTGCCATAGGCTGGTCCAGGTCTTGGCCATGCACGGTCCCCCAGCTCCTATTTTAGAGACCCAAGATGGAGTCACACTCCATGTTTACAGTCAGCAGCAGGGAGGCCTCACGAGAGCAAGGTGGACCACAGGTGGACGTGACACAGCTGATGTTGACTCAAGTTTTCAGCCCGTGACCATCTCCCCAGCTGTCCTACTGAGCCCTGCCCACTGCCCTGTACAGCCAGACATCACCAATGCAAAGCAGCTATCTTGCATGAATGATTCTGGGTAGGGGGTGCAGCCTCGGGACACACCAGGCAGCTCCCACCACATACTGTCCATTAGCAAAGGCTCATTAGACTACGAGCTGACAGACCATGAACTCGAGGAGTCATCGGATCCATGTGGGTAGCATTTCCCCTTTTCTTGCCTTGCAAGAGACCTGGCCTGGCTGCCACCACCCCACCTGTCTGTCCTGAGGCCCGGGGTTCCCTGGTGTCCCATGCTTCTTCTGTAAGATGAAATGACAATAACCCCAGTACCATGTGGGCTGGCATGAGCAGGAGACCACATGGATACAGGCGTGCGCGAGCAGGGCTGCACATTGTTGACACGGTTTAGGAGCGCAGGTGGCACAAATGTGTGGCCAGGGGCCCAAGCTCTGAGGTGGCGTCCCTGGGTTTCTGGCTTGAATCTACAACGTCCCCCTCAGGCCCACGTTCTTGATGGTTCATTCTCCAGCTGGTGATGTTGGGAGGATGTGGAACCTTTAGGAGGCAGGTCACTAGAAGTGGGCTGTGAATGGATACCCAGGCCCCCCACCCCCACCCCCGCCCTTTGCTATCAATCCACCCCTCTGTCAACAGCTTCCTGCTGGGCCTTCCCTGCCTGGGCAGACTGAAGCCTGCCTAAACCATGAGTGTAAACAGATCCTCACTTAAGTTATTTATGCCAAGGGGCGAGGTCACAAGTGACTCAGAAAGTCACTAATATGCCCGTGTTTGTCACTCACTGCAGCCTCAGTTTCCACATCTGAATGATGGATCAGTATGTTTTCCTGGGACCTTTTGCAGGGTCACCTGATTCATGGTGGCTGTTGTCACCTGATGCTGGTACTGTTACTGACTGTTGTGCTCTGTGGTTGGCCCTTTGTTAAGTTCTAGAGACCCAGGACATCCTCTGGGATACAGGGAGGTTTATCCTGGACCAGGTCTTCCTGGACAGCTTCAAAACAGTGAGCCTTGGGGTGGTAAGTCCTCCACCTGCTGCCGCCCAGAGGGGCATCCTAGCCAGGGTTCCTTTATCTCCCCCAGAGATGGCCCCTGCTTGCCACAGGGAGGAGGGATGGGACAGGTCTGCAGCCCCTGGTGCACAGGGAGCTGCCTGGCAAGTCCTAGCAAGGGAGCCCTGCCAGCTCCTCCTCCAGCAGCGAGCTGCCAAGGAAAGCCAGGGACACAAAGGCAATGCTAATTACCTCTAATTACTCAGAGGAGGAAAGCACCGCTTTACTGAGGCCCCTAATGTGATAAAGAGCTATTATTAGGCAGGAGCGGAGCCAAAGCCAAGGTGTTTGAGGAGGGAGGGGTCTGCGAGCAGCTGGTCTCCAAATTGGAGAAGTGAGGGGTGGTGGGGTGGCTGAAGAGGAGGGGGCTAGTATTAGGGAGCATTCATGAGCCCAAGACTCTGGGCCCTGCATCTTAAGTAAACTCCCCATATGATGGACTCAGTGCTGGATTATGTTCTTGCTTGGCCAACACCAGGGTCTGCTGCTTTGAGTCTAGACAATGCCCTGCACCTGAGTCCTCTGCTTGCTTTGGTTATTGCTGTGGCAGGGGGGCAGCTCTGACTGGTGATCTGGTTATTGCTT